TTCTACTAAATAAGCAGTATTTTTCTGATATCCTATTCATAGCTCTAAAGAGTGGTAAAAGGAAAGCCTTTTGGTTCTAGAAGACTCGTTCTCCGGTAGCAAAGAGGATCCAGAACACGGTGGTTACAAAGTAAAGAAACGCCGTTACCGTCAAGAACGCCTGAAAAGAGCCGAGCCACTGCACGAAATAGCCCGTCCCTATTGTACTTACGATCGCAGCCATCGTACCCGCACAATTCGAAATACCTGTCATGGACACCAGATAAAAAAAAAAAAAACTCTTGCTTTCTCAACAAGAAATAATAATAGAAAAGAAAAAAAAACAAGATTCACCAATCTATTAACATTTACCGTGCAGGAAACCAGCATATTGCGGCGCGATGTCCTGTTTCCGGAAAAATAGTAACCAACGATGTTGTGAGATTTAAGATTATTTCAAAAGAGACGGTAGTGATCAGTCAAGTTTAAAATGGTTGTTTTCAAACAAAACAAAAAAAAGTTTAGAATGGTATAAGAGTTGTAACGAACGTACTTGCATATTGAGGAGAAACCCAGCTTGGCTAAAAGAACTCAAGCTCAATGCAATGGTCATGAAAACCGCTGCACAAGAAGGCGTCTTTGCGTAGTTGAGGCAGAGCAGAGACAACCCAGGACCCATAAATCCAATAGACTGACAATAAAACCCCGGACATATTGTTAGAATTTGAATTTAAATTTTATGGGTCTATCAAATTTTAGTTAACCAAGTATTTCACTTTAAATAATCACCTGCATGATCTTTCGCACAGAGGTTACAGAGTGACCAGTTCTGATCAAGAAGTCTGATGCTGAGCCCGCAAAGTAACCTGAGACCGCCATTGTCGCCCATGGAAGAGCGCTGAACCAAGCCGCTTGCTTCAAATTCACATTAAACACCTGCCATCGGACAAGGACAAGATATCGATATAAAACATTATCTTTTCAGTCCATATCTGAATCAAAACATTGAATAATCTCTACTTACCGTCTGGAAGTAAACGGGCATCCATGAGAGAAGAACAAAATATCCCTGTGAACAACTAACGAAAACCCATGTGAGTTTATGAGACAAAAGATAAGCCATTTCCCTAACAAAGATACTATGAAACTCAAACCCACCCAGTTGTTAGTCACATTAGCGAGAATGATCGCCCAAGTAGGCAATTTCGACAAAAGAAGGCGCACAGAAGGGTTAGGCTTCGCTACATTGGTTGGTGCGTGAACTGGTTTTCCAGCTTGGATAAGCCTAAGCTCTGACCTAGTGATGAAAGGACTGTCCTGAGGGTTGTTTGTAACACCGCTTGACCAAGTGGACACCCATAATAGACCTAAGGATGCAAAAAGAATGAATGGACCAGAGATTCCTATAGAAGATAACATGAGCGGCGTCAACAGAAGTCCCACAACATTTCCCATGTGAAACCCGGCCATCGATATCCCAACCGCACTTGCTCGTTCATCCGTCGGGAACCACCTGAGTCAAATTCCAATTTATGCGTTTGCAGTTCACAAGTGAAATTATTTTCAAGAAAAAATTAACATAGTTATAAAGTAAAAACAAGTGAAATTTTTCAGAATGTGAGTTTGTTAGAATAGATGGAATTACCGCGAGAGAAGGGTAGTCATGGAGGGCATTGCAACGCCTTCAGCGAGGCCAAAGAAGGCGCGAACACACAATAAGGCTAAGGTCGAGTGAGCAGCTGCCCAAGGAGTCAGTAGAGTGGCTAAGGACCACAATGCCACTCCCCAAGTTAATACTCTTTTTCCACCATACCGATCCACCAGTGCCCCTCCAATAAACGATGAAAATATGTAACCCCATAGAAAAGAGGACTGCAAAAATAAACAAGTTTCAATCCATAGTGTTAGTCATACAATGTAAGTGGTGCTCAACAAAGAGTCCTAACTCCTAACCAGAAACTTACATAGAAGAAATCAATCTAGTGATTGAGGACTCGCTCCGAGGTCACTGATCGAATTTCGGTTCATGATTTATTTGGTTTAAAAAATAACCCTCCTGAATGTTGAAATTTAGTAATCTAAACTAAAAATTGAGGTTTTGACAAAAAAAAAAAAACCCTAAAAAACTAAAAATTGAGGATCCTATTATCGTTAACGGTTTTGTCGTTTGCATTTGAATTGAATGTCTTCAAAATGAGAGGAATTGGATTTTTTTGGCTTAAAGCCAAACAAAAACTGAAAGAAAAATGAAATCAATGTGTCCCACACCATAAACATTCACAGAGGGTTACGCTTGCCGCCCAAACTAACGCAACCTAACCTTTTTTTCTCAACAACCACTCCTTTTAAAAAATATATATATTATCAATAATTTCAATTTATTAAAATGCAATCATATTACATTCTTTAATCACCCGATATTTCTTTCAAATATAGTTTCTTTTATAAGTTTCTAAATACAATTATGTACGGAATTTCAGAATTAATGATTTAAATACCCGTAATAGCTTTCATATAAGGAAACCAAATATATAAAAATCTTTATCTTCTTTGTGATGTTTGATATCACTTCCCGATTCGCGGATCAAGAATGTAATTAAGAGAGTTAATAAAAGACTTGACCAAAAAAATTTAAGGAGATTAAAAGAAAATACCTGAACTACCCCTAGAAAAGAACTCGACCAACCAAGTTTCTCGGCGAGTGGAACCACCGCGACGGACATAACGACTCGGTCGGCGTTACACAGACACATCATGCATGCCGACAGTATCACTATCTTAATCCTCTCCGGTATCATTGTCCTAACCTCAGCAATCGCTTCCGTCTCTCCTCCACCTCCGCCGATCAGTATTCCCTCCGCCGCGCATCTTTCCGGCGATTGATTCCTCTTGTTCTTCGCCGCCGATACCACCGTTTCACCTCTTTTTTTCCCATTTTTTTCCGACGAGTAACGTAAATTCTCAAATCGAATTTGATTCTTCCGTGGATCAAACCCGAAACCCAGAAGGGCTTTCCGGGTTGTGATCCGACGGAAACTCAGTAAAGATGAAGAATGTTGCAGAGAGTTTACCGATGATGTTATCGCCATTAACGAATAATTTAAGAAAGATTAAGTTATGATCACTCAATGCAAATGTTTAGGAGTAGTTAGAATA